TGATTCCCGTCCGACACCACAATCAATGAGTGTTACATTCGGGTAGTGTTTGATCACTGAATGAACAACCGATGAAAACACTCATTGCATACAATAATACATTCAACATTACTATAAATATTATTATAAGTTTATTATTGTATATAATGTTATTATAATTGCTAGTTTACTATATATTAAGTAATGTAGTAAAGTAAATCAATTGATTAAAATTTTCTATTTTTAGTGAAAAATGGTTTTTAGTTATTTTAGCTATTATTAATATATTATTACATATAAAGTATATTACTAAGTTATATTTAAAAAGTTATTTTAATTAATTTTAATAAATGTTATTTGGATAATAGTTTTTATACAGACTATACTAAACATTTCTAAAATAACTTTGTCACATATTATAACATTAATTATATGTAAATAATAAAATTTAATAAAGATTATTTTATAATTAATAGCTATTTTAGTTTTGTTTGTTGTCTTTGTTTTCAATTAACTTCCAGTTATTAGTCATAATAATGATATATTAATAAAAGTATTTTACATTAGCTTCAAAATACAGCATCAAATTATTATATCAATATTTAAAACATATTTAAACAAAATTTTTAGCTCAACTTACACTATTAATACATACATATACATTATATGAGGGTTAAGCCAAGTTTATGAATTTTAGTGGGGGGTCTAGGGGGTCAAATGATTTAAATATCGTAAAATTTTGGAGGAATAGGGTAGGTGAAGAATCCTATTGTATTTTTGCATTTTTTTTTTTAAAAATCTAAAAATCAATGTAGAGTCGAAAGAAAAGTTATTAAACTTTTCTTAAATTCACGAATATTGTAATGTAAATTCACAAAAATTAGGTAAATATTCCCAATAAAACATTATTTATCAAATGAAAACTTGATAAAAACATAAATTTTAAATAAAAAAAATTAAATTAAATAATTCTCAAATTATATTTTAAAAATAATTAAAAACTTTATAATAAACAATATATTGTTTAATTAATTATTAAATTTATTTATTTTAAAATTCAAGTTAAATAGTAATATAATTACTTTCTATTAAACAAATGCTGTAGTTAATTTATACTTATGAAATTTTAAGAAAATTATAATGTTATAGTTAGATTAATTTTAACATGGTTATTTGGCCTTACCCCCTATCACCCCCATGATTAAAATGCTATATACATATATATATATATTTAATATTATTAAATTAATAACAGTATATAATTTACACACACGACAATAATATATAATCATATTTTTCAAAATTCAATTTTATTAAAATTCTCAATAAGTTTTGTATACTTTTTTAAAAATGTCTTTAATTTCATTAGAGATTATTGTGTTTTTTTTAATCTCATCAATGGTTTATAGTCTTCAAACTCCCGTAATTGACAATAATGGACAGCCAACCGGTCTCTATGAATTCAAATATTATCAGGGTCAATTTAAAACTGAAGTGATTTTTATTCCCTTTATAATATTTTCTATTGAAAAATATGATGATTATAATTATTTTGTTTACACAAATCATACTATGTTTTTATATTTGGTTTTAAATAAAAATATTAAAAAAGATGCAATTATTTTATCTTCAGGTATGACTTTTTGTTGTTGAAGTGATTGTAAAATTTTGTTGTCATTGAAATTTTTTTTTATTGTTTGTAACATTTTTATTTATTTTATTAATTTATATAATTATTTTTATTATAAATATAGTATATCGAATAACAATTACTAAATTTCGAGAATTGCCAGTTGATAACTATGTTATCAGTATTATAATCAGAGATTATAAATTTCAACAATCACTACAAGTAATTATAAGCAAATACAAAATATTATATTTTTAGAAATTAAAATTTATAAAAATAAAACATTAAATTTTTTTAAAGGAAATTTTGGATAATACACCAAAACGTGTGGTTTTAGTGAAATCAGAGACACTTAATAATCCGACCGGCGCTGAGATTACCGATGAGTTTCAAAATGAAGTGAAAAAAGTCTACACAAGTCAGGTATCCATAGCTAATCATTGGCAACACTTGACAGGAATATCAGTACACATGACAATGGATACATTAGGAGAGATCGGGGCATCGTTTTTGGGTATCGACACTAAGTCTATGTTTACATCAAGTTTCGGTTTCGGTATCAAACGCCAGTTTAAATGGGGCGGTAGTCAGACACAGAAGATTGTGAACAACACTCACGAAGAAAAGTATAGTTTTAAACAGATTATACGCATAAAGCCAAAGACAAATGTGTCGGTTATACCTTATATCGAAACCATTGAAAACATGCGCTTAGACTACACCGCAAACGTATACATCAGAGCTAATGGACCCATGTTTAAGGGAAATCGGACTATGAGTGCCCGATATTTGGCCGCACTGTTCAATGCTACCATCAATCAAACAGCTCAAGTGGTCAACGACTACGAGATAGTTATGCCAATCACTGGTGAATATTTGGGTTCTTTTAGTATCATTTCGTATAACAGTATATTAGATCTTAGCAGTGGTTACGACCAACTTCTCTCAGTCAACAACTCAGTCTATGATTTGAAATATTATCAAATATATGTTATTATATTAATTAATTTTTTACTGCTTTTATTATTATAATATATCAGTATATGTATAATATATATAGATATAATTTTTAAAAATTTAATTTATTAATTCATATTTTAAAAAGTTATAAGATTTAATCTAATTTAAACAAATAGTTTTGTTGCTTATATTTTTTAAAAATAATATTAAACACTTTACAATAATTTACAAAATATCATATTTAGTTAGCAAGAATTATACAGTAATTTTAATTTTAAAAAATATCTTCTCATTAATTATAAAGTATGTACCGATTAGACACTCATTGCATACAACAATAAATTCAATAATACTATAGATATTATAAGTTTATGACAATTTTAATTTATTTAATTTAATGTAATAATTACTATAAAATTATTATTTAAAAAATCCAAAATCAATTTATTTAAATAACTTACTATTTACTATTAATAACATTTTATGAATATTTTATAATATTTTATTACAAACAATATTAATAATATTAAATTATTTTAAAAATATTGTATGTTTTAATAATTTAAAAATAACTAAATAATTTAGTAAAAATATAATTTTTTAGTTATTTTATTATTAACTATCAGTAAATTATCTAATTAAATTAACAATTAATAAAACACAATATTTATTCTAAATTAAGTAATTATATTATTGTTTCTATAATTGTCTAAATATTAACTAATCAATTATATATATATATATTTGAAATTAAACTTAACTTAATCTATTTAATCTAAGCTAGTTTATTAATACTGTAAAATATAAATAATACAATTGAAATTGAAATAGACTTTATGTGTGTATTGTTGGTGCGGTAGTAATGGACATCTAAGAAAATAAAAAATTAATTTAATATTATTGATAAACTTATTATATAAATTAAATTTGCGTTAATAATAATAATAATAATAAAAATAAATGCAATTTTAATATATAAAATTACTATAATAAACTATTTAATAATAATAATAATATACAACTATATGAAAAATTAATAATAAATATTTTTTATCAATAATTATACTAGAAAGACTTTTAAAATAATTAATTAATAAAAAAAAATTATTATAATTTTTTATATTTTTTAATAACTAATGTGTAGTGTCTTGATTTCCAACTAAAAAAATTATTTTGTCGGTTTAACGCTTATAACTGGGACTTAGTATGTCCACCTAACTTGACCAGTGGACGCTATTTCCGAAATTTTATTATAACTATAAATAACTATTTGTTAGGTTAGCAACTATAAAAACTTATAAATAACTATTTCACTTATTTTGAAAAATATAAGCATAAAATTGTAAAATATTGCACAAATATATGTAAAAACAAAAAGTAATAGTTATATAAATTATATAAAATGTGTAAACTGTTATCAACTCATATTACTTTTTTAACAATAGAAATAATTAGTTTATTTATATAAATCATTTTTGTAAATATGCTGAAAACAAGTGAATTATATATCAGTTGAAATATTTATAAGAAAATAAATAATTATTTCAATAACTATTTGGCTTTTTTGGCAATTATATACAACTATTTAATACAGTTTAAATAACTATTTTAACAACTATTTAATAGAGTATAAAAAATTATTAATCAATACACTACTAATGTGCTATTAATATATCAATTATACTAACAAATGTTATTTAAAACTCTATTTTGAGTAGTATTAGTAAATAATATAATTAGATTTAAAATTTATTTTTAAATATTTCAATTAAATTTTATTCAAAATATTATGAAAAAGTTTTTTTTGTATTATTTATTGTAATATTATTATATAAATTATAGTTCTCTTCTAATATGATAGGGAGGCAAAAGAAAAGTATTTTCCATATTTTCCGGGAAAATAGGAGGGATTTTATTAGGAAACTTACTTCCCTAATCATTACAAACCCTAATTATACTCTAAAGTATTAATTATAACTATAATCTCGAACTAAAATGCAATAATATTTTAAATTAAAAAAAATAATACACCTTAAAAATAAAATAAATTTACAAATATTTTTTTTATAATTATATATATATAATCACTTTAATACTCAATATTATTAAAAAAAAATAATCTTTACAAAAATCAATGAATAATGTAGTAAATTAAAAAAAAATGATCACTAATATTATAAATAAATAAAGATTTTGATAATCATAATAATATTAATATAATTATATAAAATATAAACTTTATATTTATACTGTACAATTAAAAAATACATTTTTTTAATACATTAATTGATTTATAATAATAACAAATAAAATAATCGTTTTTTAATCTATGTTTATAAATATCATAATATATATATATTCTGTATAAAATTTATATGTATTTTAAATGATAATAAAAAAAATAATTTAAAATTACTATATATCTTAAGGACTCAATTGTGACTGATTTGCAGTTCGCGCCACAAATACTTGCCGTCCGTCCATTCGCACCGATAGCGGGCAATGTCCTTACGGGTGACAATACCGATAACTTCGTTACGATCGTTGGTCACTATCAAATGTCTCAAACCGATTGCCCGAAACAGGCGATAGATACGGGTCAGCGATGATGTATGCGATACTGAATAGGCCGACGGATTCATTACTGGCCGTACGTCGATAGTGTACTCGCGTTCGGCATCGCTGATCGTATTGACCACCGACTCGATCGACTCGTATCGAGGATAGGCGTTGCGAAACGTTTCCATTGTATACGAGTGCCAGTCCTGTTCGTATTCATTGAACAGTTTCTGTTTGAGCATAACAATCAATTGCCACCGCAATACTAGTCCACGAAAACGGCCGAACGTAGTGTCGCCGCGGCCGTAGTCCATACGAAACGATACGTTCATATCGTTTAGTGCAGCAAAAGCACTGATGTTGTTGCTATCGTTTGATAAGTCGGTGGTGTCGACTACGGGAAAACCGTTATGCGATTCGCTCAGTAATATGTCTATTATGTAACCGACCTGTAATTAGTATTCAAAAAACATAATAGTTAATAAAACTAACAATTAATTTACCCATTCATTCATTTTCATCACCTTTTCGGTCGTCTTCAATGTAGTAACCGGTGTGGACATCACCTCCGATGCGTATATATTGCTAGCGCCGACCGGCGGCTCCCAATTGAGAAACGGTATGCTCGACAACTGTATGTGTATATCGTAGATGCCTTCGTTGAACAGATCGCCCACCCATTTGGCAGTAATCAGTGTTATCATAATTGGCAGACCAAACGTTAGATTGCCGGTCGCTTCGATCAATATGACAGTCAAACTGATAGTCATACGGACAATACCGCCGAGATTGGCGGCCGCACCGATCAGTGCAAACTTTCCGGGGCATATCTATATATAGAGGTGGGTGTAATGGTTATTAATAATTGATTGAATTAATCAACAAATAAATATATTGTAATACCCAGTCCTGTGTGGGAAACATTGATTTCATGCCGATGCCGGCCAGCCTTCCCCAGGCAGCTCCGACCAACAGTGACGGTATAAACAAACCGCTCGATACACTCAGTCCATAGGTCCAGCAACTAAGGAAATAGTAGACACCGACAAATATGGCCAACGATTCCGGCCGCCAAGTGCCCTCAACATTGTGAAACAGGTTACGCAGAGATGCTTCGGGTGTATTAAACCAGAGGGCACCCATTACCGAGTACTCTCCATCGTGACAGTTATATTTGATGGGATATTCGACATAGTTTTCTTTGATAGTCTGGTGACAGTCCCGAATGTAGACAATCATTAGGAAACCAATGGTTGCGGTAACCATTGCCACTACGACAGCTTCGAGTACTTTGAGTACGGGATGACTGATATAGCGTATACGGAAAACAGTAAGTTTGTAGTTCATATAGTTGAATAGTGCACCCGCTAGGCCACCGAAAGCGCCCATCAGTACGTAGAGAGGTAGTTCGGCAAAATTATAATTAAAATCAGCTGCAGCAAACTGGCCAAAATTTAACAGTCCCGAATAGGACAACTGGCCCGGATGCAAGTGATAGGTTGATAGTATTAGATTTAAGGTAAATGTCGATACTAGTGAACAAAAAAATATACGCCACGTAAGCTTCTGGTTCCAAAAGGAGGCGCCCTCTTCTAAGCTGAACAGTACGCCACCGACTGGTGCGCCAAAAGCGGCCGCCACTCCGGCAGCGGCACCTGTTTGTGTGCGATATCAATGATAAAACAAATACATAATTTAGCAATTTTTTATAACTACTGATAATTACGGTACTATTAAAGGAAAGTTTAGTATTAAGGAACAGTTAAGTTAATTAGTTAGTTGGGATTAGCCAACCAACCAACCAACCGATCGGTGACACCATACCTGCTGAGACAAAATCACGTTTTTCCCGATCCTCGCGAAACTCTTGCATAACTCGAAAATCTTTATTAAATGTCGTACTCTTGCCCTGCGAGACGCCGGCCGCAATTACCGAACCGCAATGAATCATCGGGCCCTCTTTACCGCAGGCCAGTCCGCCCACGACAACCATAATAACACCAAACAGTTTGGCAAAATAGGTCTTAATGCGAACGACTTCGGGAACTTTAATACCATTCAAATAACACTTAATTACTGGTATACCCGAACCGGCAGCAATCGGTGCCAAATAGGTAACCAATGCCGAACCCATTAGTACGGGTACGGCGTTCAAACCGAGCCACATGGCGTACGGTATGATTATACAGTACTGGCCACTAGTAATAGTACTGTCATTACCGCCGCCGCTGTTGTTGATGTCCTGATTTCTTGAGCACCGGTCGACAAACTGTTGCAACAGTTTATACTTATATTTTGATAGTCCTTCGACCGATACGACAATCACACAGGCAGTGACAGCGGTCAACAAACCGATGATAAAGATGACCAGCCAGCGGACCATTTCGGTACGTTTGAGCCACGAATCGGCCACCCGTTTCCTCTCTTCCAAGTAAAGCATGTTTTCGATCTGGTCGTAGTCAAGACTTTCGTACTTTTGGGACAACAAATCAAGCGAACCGACTGCTTCGGGTGAGGCCACACAGTGAACATCTCCGGCTATACGTACTGGCGATTTCTGGCCACTACGGCTGCTATTGGCTGATGACGACGATCCGCTGGCCGACGGCTGGCGTCGCATTTTTGTTTGCCTATTGTCAATGTTATCGGTAGTAACACAAGTGGCCGACATATAATCGATTTCAATACTACTGATGGCTCGGCGGCGGCGATGTCGTTGTTGGCCAGAAATGCCGTCGGGTTCGTCGTCATCGTTGTTAATAACGAGCCGCCGATCGTTGCGTAGGTTATGGTGTCGACGGCGGCCATCACTACTACTACCACTGTTGACCACTACTTCGTCATCGCTTAGTCGGCGATACTTTCGACGATTCGGTCGTTTTTGGTCGTCGATAGCGACGGAGTCGGTGGCAGTGGTTGTCGTTGTTGTTGTGGTCAACGGTGTAGTTATGTTGACGTTAATGTCGTCGACGGTGTCCGACATCGGGCGGCTATACGATCACACCAATTGGTCAGTTGATTATTATTATTATATATACGGGTGTGTAATGATTGACCTCCAAGTGCTATATATATATGATATATAAAGTGCTGTTCAGTGAGAGACAGCTCAGGGATATATCAATGACATCCTCTCTCTCTCCCACTCTTTGACTGATAGCTAACGTAAACAACAAAAATAAATAATAAAAATAATTAAATAAAAAAAAACAATTGATTGAAATGCGATTACAATATCATATATAAACAGTAATAATAATAATAACTAATAAAGTAATAAACAATTTAATTACAGTTTTAAGTAATAATAGTTTGAAACAAATTGAAACATAAAATAAAACTGTAAATAAATATTTTGTTTATATTATTATTATTATTATTATTACCGTATGTTTTGTTAATGCTATTGACGTTATTGACGACCACTATTTAGATGTGTATATGTAACGTAATTTATGTAATAATTATGTAATGTACATGGAAACTTCATAGATTTTTTTTTATATTAAAAAATTGAAAATGTACATGGTAGAAATAATTATAATAATAATAATAATAATAGTAAATGTAAACTGTATAGTATTGTATAAAATGTAAAATTAAAAAAAAATTAATTAATATATAAATTTAATAATTATTATTTAAAATTTTTATATTTTTATTTGAATAACATTTTTTGTAATACAATAATATCATAAATTTAGTCAAACATTAGATCTATAATACTGTATATATAATTGAAAAATATAATTATTTGTATTAAATTTCTATTGTATTTATGTATTATATATTTTATAATAATAATAATATAATGTATTGTTTTAAATTACATTATTTTTAATTAATGTTTGTAAAAATGATTATTATTTTATAGTTTTGATAGTAAAATAAATAAATACTTAATTATTAATATTATAGTTATTTTGTTTATATACAAAAAAAAACTAAAATAATATATTCATTAAATTACTTAATTAGTATTCATATTGGATATAATAATATAAAAACAAAATATATACTGAAATAATAATAATATAATAATAAATAATTTATAAACTATTAATATTAGACTTAATTATTTTACAATATAATATGAATTCTAGTGTATTAAATAAAAATTAAATCACAATTTTTACTAGAAATATTAATTTAAAATATAAAAAAATTTATTTAATAAAATAATCATAATAATAAATAATAATAATTAAAAAAAATTATGTACCATTATTTATTTATAAAAAATCATTTAAATAATTTACTAGGGTTAAATACATTAAAAAAATCAATATATCTAATATTGCTTAAATTTTTTAATGCATTTTAATATTAACTTTATGTATAACTCAAACTATATTTTTTAAAATTATTATTTTGTCAAAAAAATATAATAAATAAATAATAAAAATTTATTATTATTAATTTATTATAAATAAATAAAAGCTGTTTTATTTGTTTTTAATTTCATTTAGATTACTGTAGTTGTTGTTGAACTATGTATTAAGTTATAAAGTACAGTACAATATATATATATATATATATTTAATACATATATAACTATAATCTAAAAACTATATATTGTACTGTACTTTATATTGAATATATAATATAATATTATTATTAACAATAAAAACAAAATAAATATAAAAGCAATTTATTTAGGATATATTGAATGAATCGTATGCCTAATTATCTGCAACATTAAAACTAATTTCAATGGATATAATTTTCTAAATATACAGTATATAATAGATAATAATATACAGATATTATAATATACGGCTTATTAATACAATTTATATAGCACTGTTGGCAGAGTCTAAACATGTTTGTAATAAAATGTATGACCAATATTTGTATACATTGATTCAATTAGCATTGATATACAGTAGCAAGTATATTTTAATATTTAAATATTTATTTTTCTTATTAATAATAGTAAACCATGTTTTTAAAATAAATATAATTTTTAATATTAATTTAATATAAATTTAATTTTATAGAATTTATATTTTTTTTATAGTTTTACATTATTCTTTTTGTTATTTAAAATCAACAATTAATATAACAATAATTAATTTTTAAAACAATTATATTTTTGCTAAATATATTTTTAAAATAAAATTTTCTAAATATTTGTAAATATTAGTTATAAAAATTATACAGTCAAAATTTAAAAGTTTGTATTTTTCCAACCCTGGTATATATATATATACACTGTACATAGTATACATGTACATACATATAAGTACTTTATATAAGTTGCTATAAATAATATATAAAATAATATTGAAAAAAATTAAATACTTACTGAATATTAAATAAATTAATACTTAATAAATCTAGCCATAGTTACTAATTTATTAAATAGGTTAAATATAACCTAAATAAAAAAATTAAGTAAAATTTATTTTGAATAAAATTTTAATATAACTATTATATTATATCAATATATAATAAAAATATTTAATCAATTAATTTGTTTGTTTGTTTATTTATATAGGTAATAACTATAAAATAAATTATATAAAAACATATGTTTTTATAATAATAATAATAAAATTTATTACTTATAGAATATTCTGTATATTGTTTCTAACCAAATAATTATCAAGTGTTTAAATGATTTAAATTTTGTAAATTGATTGCACAATACATTTTGTATTACATTATTAAATACTATAATAATACAGTAGTAATAACTATGATATACACTGTGTGGCTATCATCCCATGAGATGTGAATACAGTATATATTAAAAAAATATTTTTATATATAATATTGTGTAATAACTATATACAAACATTGTCTATAAAGTGTGTATATTTAAAATTATTATTCATATTAATGTCAAAATCTGTATTAAAAATGTGTAATAATACTAATACTATATTATTATTATTAGATAACAATTTAAATGATCAATCAATAAAATTTTTTAGTAGTAATATTATAATGTATGATAAAACTAGTGTATTATAAAGAATTTTTATGGATATAAGCCATCAAATAAATACTATTTTTTATATATTACTTTAAACAACAAATATATTTATATATTTTTAATTAATTACTTTTTTTGAAATGAAAAATAAAATGATTTTTAGTTTTTTTTCTATACAAACAATTTAATAAATGTAACAAAAAATATTCTGTAAATACTTATAATAATAATAAAAGAATATAAAAAATTCATGAATAGTTGATAAAACACATTATATTCAAAAAAAACATTTTTTTGGTATTAAAAATCATTTATATGAACAGAAAAAAAATATTTATAAATACTAGCTATGGTTAAGTTAGTTTTTTCAATATTATTATTATTATATTTAGTATTTAATAGCAATATGGGATTTAAATAATTTATATAGTAATAGATATTATATATATATATTATATTAAACTCATAAACCGTTTTGTGTGCTGGCCATACATGGCTGAGTTTTTTCATATATATATATATATATATATACAGTATATGATATATATCTATACGCGACTCATAATGATTGTGATCAGTGATATTAATTTTTATGAAACATTTTTGTGGTCATAATTATTTTATACATATAATAGCACACACATAGACACACACACACACACACACACACACACACACACACACACACACACACACACACACACACACACACACACACACACTTATATATATATTGTATAAACATTAATGAATAAAATTATACATAACTATTGTGTAATATACTGTATATATATATATACTGTATATCAGTGCTGAATATTATTCATTGCAAAAACACATATCACTCCCATGTCTTTCTCATATCGTATGTGTTTCATAACTCATCTATAAAATACCAAATATTATTATTATTATTATAAAAATTTTTGTATATGATATAAAAGAGTTGTGACAAATTTTTTTTTGTCACATTTTATTTGCTAAATGTAGTGATTATTATATATATAAATATATATATATTTGTATAATATTTATTAGTAGTCAACAATTCATGTATATATATATACTGTATATAATTCATACCGTATATGATATCCACAAAAAAAACATTTCAAAGTAAAAATTTTTACCTAAAATTTTTCAACCTATCTCTCTGTGTTTAGTCGTATTTAAAATAAATTTTTTACTTAAAATAAATTATTTACTAAGAAACTATTTTCAAAATAAATGAAAATATTCAATCATCAATTGAAGTTTAAGTTTCCAATTAAGTTTATTAATAAAAGTTATAAATTTATTAAATTAATCAACTTTTATATTCAACATAAAAAGTAGTTTACCTAATAATAATAATAATATATGATCAAAAAATTTTGTTAATTAAATATATTTAAAAACTAACATTTCCTAAAAATTTAAAGTACAATAGACACTAAAAATTTAATTTTCCCATAATATATTAAATAACAATAATTTAATTTGTTATTAACATTATATAATATATTATAATACTAATCATAATAATAGACTGTAATAATAATAATAATAATAATAATAATAAAATACTGTACAATACAGTTAGTCCACAAAAAGATAATAATAATAATAAATATTTATAATTAATTTTGTTGTTACAACTCTTATAATCACTAGAATAATAATAATAATATATTTTTCAAGACAGCAAAAAAAATATTTATTAAAATAACTAAAACTTTTAATTGAATTTTTTAAAAACATAAAAATCAATTATGAAATGACTAACTTCTTATTGATAGACAATTCAAACAACAAATATGTCATTTTATTATCTATTGATACTATCGATTGGCATACAATTGCTTAATATAGTAGTTTCAGTGGTCGTCAATGAAAAAAATCAAATCACTATTGAATCGGATGAAAACAAGTGTAACTTAGATACTGGTTGTCAGCACCTGGAGGGTACAGTATGTGATCCAACATTGAAGCGATGTGTCTGCCGACCGGATCGTCCCGTACGGCTCAGTAACGGTGCGTGTCTGGAGTCCCGGGCGCCCAACGAACCCTGTATTACGTCGGCCCAGTGTCTGGTCAAACATAGCGCCTGCTATGCCACCGACGATGCACTCAAGCACTGGGTATGTCAGTGCCGTCCGGACTACTATTCAGTGACGACAACGACCAATTTGACTACCGGTGGCGCCGTCGGTATTGTCGATACACCGGTACAACAACACCGGTGTGAGCCGCGTGTCGACTACGGTCACCGATGTCAGCAAAGCAACCAATGTCGCAATCGGATGCAGTGTTTGACCAGTGATGGTGGACAACAACAACAGTGTGTCTGTGCAGACAAACATGAATACGACAAAGCCGTGGGCGACTGTAGGCCAGTTGGCGCCAAACTGTGTGCTACAGATGTCGACGGCGATCAAGAGTGGAGTACAGCCCACGGCAAATGTATGCCGAAAATCTATTACAGTCATCGAGGGTCGAGTGGCGGCGGTTCGGGTTCGCGGGCCGGTGCCGGCGGAAGGGATAGCGGTTCGAAGGGTTGGTTTGGCAACAATCCGGCCACAAGAGTCCGGTGCTATGCAAACACCTATTTCTCTATAAGTGCACTCATTATTATATTAACAATTTAATATAATATTATTATAACAAAAAATAATTTAAAAAATACATTGAATAGTACCATAAAAATAGTACATTATTTAAATCTAATATTTTTTTTCTTAATAATCAAATAATAATTGATATTTACTTTATTTATTTATTAATTTTTATTATAAGTGTAAATCAATCAGTTAGACTAAAATACTAAACTAAACTAAAAAAACTAAATCAGTTGTAATCCCTCTCCACCCCCTCATCACAAAAAATACATAATAATAATATTTCACTAATTGATATGCAATTTAAATGGTATAAATTATTTTTAAAAATTGTTATTAAAAATAATTTTTTTATAACTAATAATTAATTTAACTAAAAATTTAATATTTATTAATGTAGTATAAATACTGTAATTTCTATATAAAAAACTAATAACAATAACATATCAGATAATAAAAAAATAGTATCACTGATTAGATAAATAAATTTATATAAAAAAATATTATTGTAATATTAAACTACATTTTCTTTTATCATTATATATATATATATAATTAATTTGCAAATTACATTTTAATTTTACAACAAAAAAATTATAAATATTATTATTAATTTCGCTAAGTATCGCATTACATATTAGTAAAACATATAAAAATATAAAACAAAATAACAAAAATTACTAATTTAAATATTCAAAAACAAAAAATATATAGCTATAATATACACATAAATTTTTAATTTACATTGTTATAGTTAATATATTAATAATGTAAATATTATTATTATGGAAACATATTATTAAAATCAATAATCAATTATTATTATCGTTAGTAATACACCATAAAAATAAATATTTACAAGTTTTAAATGTTAAAAATTTTTACAAAAAATAAAATATCATATCATAATCAAGTAAAATACTTACAAATATTACAAACAAAAATAAAAAGCCTTATAATTACTAATGAAAAAATTCCTACATTTTAAATAAATAAATAAATATATTTAATTTATAATGTTTAAATCATAATAAAAAATTGGTCCTAAATAAAAAAAACCCACTAAATTTATTATATTTATTATTATTATATAAAAATAATTCATTAGAAATTGTAAATGTTTTTTTCTAATTAAATTTACTAATATATATACTGTATATCTATAATCAAACTATATATCATTGTACTTAAATAGTGTTAAAATTAATTGATATTTATTTATAAAAAAAAATATAAAATCACTAATGTACATTTAAAATTATTATTATTATTAGTATTATTAAAATGTTCATGATCAAAACAAAACAAAATGTATTTAAAATTGTTGTATAAAATAGTTTTATAATATTATAATATATAGTATTATAAAATATTCTTATCTTTTAATCAATTATATTATATTTATATATTCAATATATAGAGTATATATTGTATGTAATATTTAATAAAATAATTGAAATAAAAATAAATTTTAAAAGTTTAGTAGTTTATTGTTTACTAAATATTGTTTTGTAGAAAAATTGATTATATATTGTTAGCAAAGTATATATAAGTTATTACAAACCATCTAATATTTACTATATTTAAATATATACTATTATTTAGTATTGAATTGTACATTAGTATCATTATATGTAAAATTTATGTGTGAATATTTAATCCCCATATATTTTAATAAAATATTTATTAAATACACAAAATGCATATTTATATATCATTATTATCATTATTATTATTATTTTGACTACAAATATATACATATATATATATATACTTTATGTAATAAAAATTATTTATATATATAAAACAATGGGATAACCGTAATTAAAAAACAAATGAATATTAAACGGCAAGAAATTACATTTTTTTATTGTTAATTACTATTTTGCAAATTGCATATACAGTAATATAGTAAAGTGAAAACATAATAATTTTGATCCGTATATTGTATTAATAATATTGTAATTTTTTTGGGTGACTATACTATGTATGTACAGTATATATCTAAATGTTTTTATCATTTAATGATAGCCACGTGTAATATAAATATATATCTATTGTATATTATATGTATGTATATATATATATAAATAATATGTCTACAAATATCATTGTCTGTATATCGAAATACTATTTTATTTTTGATAATAATAATAATAGTAATAATATTTATATTAGAAATTATTGTATATTATATAATGTGTTTACAAAAATATTATATTATTTTCACTATTATTTTTTTCGGATTAGAAATATATTGTATATATAAATATTAATACTGTATATATATACTGTATTTAGCTAGATTTGATGCAAAATAAAAATCACAGTAAATATTTTATTTATAACACACACACACACACACACACACACACACACACACTAACACTATATAAAAAATGTTGCTTTTATTTTAATTAATTGAGTTTTAAAAAAAACTGTTTGCACGACAATAACTGAATACTAAATATTGACATTTTTCATTAAACAATACTAATAATAATAAAAACTTTTTTTTGTTTTGTTTTTGAAATCATTAGTATAATATTATAATAATAATAATAATAAAAAGTTATTATATAAATAATTAATATGTAATTAATATACTGTATTAGTAGTTTGAAAATTATAAATATTATTATGTTTATTTATTATTATATTATTATGTTATTTGAATTATACATTAATAATTATTAACAGTTTAAAGAAAATAATTATCAGCTTAAATATTTTAACATAATATTTATTAAATAGTAAAATTAATTTTTTACATATACTAAATAAACTAAACAACTATATTTAACTTAATGAAATTTTTTTTACTTGAATTAAATATAAAATATTATAATATTTTATTAAAATGTGTAATATTTTTGTAACTACTATTTTTGTAAATATATATATATAAATATCATATGATAAAATATTTATATAATAAAATACGTATATATTATAGTATATATAATATTGCTACAACAAAAATATCATTTTAGTGATAATAAAAATAATAATAATTGCACACTTATTTTTAGTGCAATATATATATTATTAACAGTATTTTATTATATACTATATATAAAAATTGTCAATTTTAATATAAATTTAGCCCAATTTATTAAATGACATTTTATAACATTAAAAAAGACATTTGGGAACAGTTTTAGATGATATACAATATAAATAGTAGTTTTAATTAAAATCATTTTTATTGTAATAACAGATAAACTCTCTCTCTCTCTCTCTCTTCTCTCTCTCTGTATAGTATACAGTGTATACATATATACAGTATATACTAAATATGCTAATTATAGTTTCAAAATTACTATCAAGTAATTAACAAAAATTTTGTTGTAATTTTAAAGTTTGAATACTAATAATAAAATAGTAACAAGTATATATATATATATATATCTATTAATATATATATATATAATATATTGTTATTATTTATGTTAATTAAAAGTATAATATTCTACTAAATATTAGTTAATAATATAGTTGTATAATATATGATACACTATTGATATTACAAATTGAATAAAAAAAATATTATATACTTTAAAAAATTGTATGTTATTTAACTATTTACTTATAAAAAATGTTACATAAAACTTATTTTCGTATATTATTATTATTATTATTACCGTTATATAGAAAAAAAAGTAAAAGTCAAAAAAATTTTATTTTTATCAATAAAAATGTCAAAATATAATTTAATAAACTTTTCAAATTTACTCAAAGCGAAAAAAATAAATATATATTTATACATAAATAGACACACATTTTAGCTAAATATAATAATAATAATAAATATTCAATTGATACGATAACTAAAAATAGTTTATAAAACTTTCAATTTAATGATTTATTGCTTTATTGTTGCAATAAATATAACAATATTTTATTTATATATATTTTTGAAAACCTATTTTTTTTATTATTATTGATAATATTAATGGCATAAATTGATAGATTTATATAAAAAAAATATTTATCAATACTAAACTCATTACTATTTATAAATAATATTAGTTATGTTTAATACAAACATTTAATTTATATATATATATATATATATATATATATTTAATAAAATTTTAATGATTCAAACATGATAATATTTATTATAAACTACAGTATTTGGTATTATTATTATTATTATTATTATTATTATTATTATTATTATTATTATTATTATTATTAATATTTAAAATTTTTATAATAATAAAAATTGTTATCATATTTATGTAATTGATTTTTTTTTAAAAAGTAACTTTTAAAAAGCACTTTTTTATAACTTTTAATAAAAGATAATAATATTTATTCACTTATAAAAATTTAAACCCTATTTATATGGAAAAAAAATAATAAATTATATTTTCCTAAACGTATTTATCAACTCACCAACAAAATAAAATATAAATACTTTTTAATATCACATTATATTTAATGGATAAAATAGTTTCTGGCATTTGATTCATCTAAAATTAGAGATGGGCAAAAAAAAGGAAAGTTTCTAGAAAATTTCTCAGGAATAAATTTCTATAAATATTTAAATTTATTGTTATTATATGGGATCTCTATATCTAAAGCTATTGTAATACTATATTAATGAGACCATACAATACATATAATATTATACAATACAAAATACTATACCTATATATAAAATAATTATAATTATTTAATAATAATTTAGTTTTGTAAAATTTCACCAATAATTTTATTATATATATCATAGTTTAATATAATTAAATAAATTAATTATTTACTTTAATTAATAACAATAAAAAATAATAATAAATAAAATAAATATATAGAGAACAAAATTAACATGGTGATCACATAAATAAAAAAATCTCGTTTAGAAACTTTCTATAAATTTCTCTATTATTTTATAAATTTCTTTTTTTTTGCCAACACTATATATAATTTAAATTATTAGAAATATTAGAATTTATTTTTAGCCTTCAGATGATATTTATTTAGTTAAAAGGGTATAAAGAAATAAATAAAAATAATTTTTTTAT